ATATACCTTCCAGACTTGGTCTGGAACTTGAGAGTCAGGAGGACGAGTCATCTCAACAATAAAGTCAGCAAAGGCTTGCCCCTTCACTGCTTTTCTAGGCTCGAAAGTAACTTCGAGGCTCTGTATTTCTATGGCCCATTTGATCATTCGGCCTGACGACTCCATGATGGTCAGTGGCCGCTTGATAGGTTGGTCTGTATACACGACGACTGCATGTGCCAAAAAGTAGGGCTTCAATTTTTTAATAGCCATGAAGAGTGCAAGACCAAATTTCTCCACTAAGGGATACCTCAACTCGGCATTTTTCAGTACATGACTGACAAAGTAGACCGGGAGCTGACAGCCGTCCCTTTCAGCAAGGAGAACAGCGCTTAACGCATGATCAGAGACGGCCAGGTACATGTAGAGTACTTCTTTGGGCAAAGGGCTGACCAGCCTCGGCAAGGAATGCAAGTGAACTTTCAATTTCTGGAAGGCCGCCTCAGCATCCGGCCCCCATTCAAACCTTGCCTTTTTCTTAATTGCCTGGAAAAAGTATAGGCATTTGTCGCCTGATCGGCTTAGAAATCTTCCCAAGGCCGCCAGACAACCTGTTAACTTCTGAACCTCTCGGATGGTACGAGGCGACTGCATGTCAATGACCGCCTGCACCTTCTCAGGGTTCGCCTCTATTCCTCTTTGATTGATAAGGAATCCGAGAAATTTCCCAGACTCAACTCCAAAGACACATTTCTTGGGATTGAGCATGACATGGTGCCGCCTGAGTGTGGCGAAAGTTTCTCGGAGGTCCGACAGATGATCTTTCTGAAGTTTAGACTTGACAATCATATCATCAATATATGCCTCGACATTTCTCCCAATCTGATCAAAGAACACAGTGTTTATCATTCGCTGGAAAGTGGCCGAGGCATTCTTAAGACCAAACGGCATGACCGTGTAACATTATAACCCCTGATCAGTGACGAAGGCCGTCTTCTCCTGATCTTTCTTCCATAGAGGAATTTGATGGAAACCAGAGTAGGCGTCCATAAAGCTCATCAAAGCATGGTCGGCTGTTGAGTCGACCAGGTTATCAATTTTAGGCAGAGGGTAACTGTCTTTGGGGCACGCCTTGTTTAAGTCTGTGTAGTCTACACACATTCGCCAGGTGCCATTCGGCTTTTTAACAAGCACCACATTTGCAACCTAGTCTGGGAAGTAACATTGCCGGATGAACCCTGCATCAAGTAATTTTTTAACTTCGGCGGCTGCCGCCTGACTTCTTTCTTCGCCATGGTTCCGCTTCTTCTGCCTTACCGGCTTCTTTTTCGGATCCACGGCCAGTTTATGTACCGCCAGATCAGGACTGATGCCTGGCATTTCATGGACTTCGAATGCAAAGATGTCCTTGTATTCTTTCAATAGTTTGTGAAAGTCGTCACCAAGGTCTCTCAGAGCAGTCGTCCCAACTTTGACTGTTCGGTCAGGACGCGAGTCGTCTAAGATCAGGTCCGTATGCTCACCAGCCGGCTGAGGGCGGAATTCATCCGACCGCTCCTCTGCCAATGATTGCTATTTTCTGTCTTTTCTTGCGGCCCCCGTCTGGGATGCCTTTCTCTTCTTGCCGCCTGCTTCTTGAACAGGCGCACTCTCCTTGACATTGTCAAGGTCTGTTTTTCCACCACTTGACCCAGTGGCCATAACAGTGGGCTTGGCATCCGAGAGATAGCACTCTCGGGCCATCTTCTGATCTCCCCTTAGGGACCCGACTGTTCCATTATCCCTCTCAAACTTGAGCAACATAAGAGATGGGATTATAACAGCCTTGGAATTATTCAGGGTTGGTCGTCCCAGAATCATGTTGTAGGCCGAGAGTTCTTCTACTACCAGGAACCGGACTACCATGTGTCGTCCTTCCCCTTTTTCGCCCAGGCGGATGGGTAAATCCACTCGTCCCAGTGGGTGGACAACTCCTCCTCCAAACCCTACTAAAGGGTGGGATGCCGGATGTATGCAATTAGTCTGATATTTTAGTTTCGACAGACATTTGCTACTGATGAGATCTGAGGAGCTTCCGGTATCTATGAGGATACGACCAACTCTCTGGTTGGCCACTTTACATTCAATAACGATAGGGTCGTCATGCGGCCCTCTTACCCCTCCTAGATCTTCTTCAGTGATGACAATCTCAGGAAATGAATATTTGGAGGGCCGTTCTTGGTGAACGGAATTTACATCTAACCGTCTAATGTTGTCTTTGTTGCCCCTAATAGTGGGGCCGCCTCCTGAGAAGCCGCCTGCAATGGTGTAGACGACTGCATCATCTGTATCGGAGCTGTCGGCCTGTTGATTCTTTTTGGCCGACTGCTTTTTTGAGGAAGTGTTCCCCGTAGATTTCTTGACATAAATGTCAAGATCACCTTGCTCAGCCAGGCGGTCCAGATACCGCATGAGACTGATGCAATCATTGGTGTGATGACCAACATCTTCATGATAAGCACAGAATTTTTCTTGGTTCCGGTTGTTTGCAGAACCCTTCATGGGGACCGACTTCTCAATTGAGATCCGTCCCTTGATTTCCTTTAGGATAAATTGGCTATCCTTGTTAAACGCATACTTTGGGGAGTATGGTTTGAATTCTTTTTTCTTTTTCTGGGCCGGCTGTTTAGAGGAATTAGCCGCCCAGACCTCTTTTCTCTTCTCTTCTTTGTTCGACGAATGTTTCCGTCGTCCTTCTCTTTTGTCGAACCTTTTCCCGTCCGACTGTTTTACCGTACTACAAAGATCAGTCGCCTGTATATAGGCTTCCGCTTCAATCAAGGCCTCTTGAAGAGTTGCCACCCTCTTTCGGACCAAATCAAATTTGAAGGTCGACCCGTCCTTGAGACCTCTGAAAAAGTCAGTATAGGCTACTTCATCCGGTAACCCTTGAATCTGTATTCTCATCAGGTTAAACCGCCTGATGTAAGAACGAAGCCCCTCCTTCTCGCCCTGCTGAATTGTTCCTAAATCAAGGATCGTCTTCTTCGCAGGGATGTTCATGGCGAAGTTGGAGGTGAATAAGTAAGCAAGCGTCCTGAAGTTATTTACACAACCAGTCGGCAGGTTGCCGAACCATTGTTGTGCGATTCCTTTGAGAGTCGCTGGGAAACACTTGCACCAAGTGGGATCATCCAACCCTTGAAGGTACATCAGGTTGGTGAATGCCATCAGATGGTCTTCTGGGTTAGTAGTGCCGTCATAGGCGCCTACTAATACATTTTTCACTTTGGCCGGCTGAGCGGCTTCAGTAATTTCCTTGGAGAAGGCCGACGGTTGTTCACCAAGTCTAAGCAACCGAAGCTGCCAGTCCATAGGTTGGACATTTTTTGCTGCATGACCACCAAACGGAGGTGGCTGTAAAAAATACTGTTGTTGCGGTACAAACGGTAAGTTTGGTACCGCCTGGTCGCTATGAAAGCCGGACTGACAGGAGGTGCCGCCTGACTGACTCTCACGATACGACTGAGTATGCCTCATTGAGGTATTTCGCAGACTGTCTTGGAAGTTTGAAGTAGAGGCCGACTCTGACAATCGGTCACTCTTCTTCTGCTCTAGCAGAAGCCGAGCGTCTGTGTATGATTTCCTCGACCCGTCCGCCTGAATATGACGAACAGGTTTCCTATTTCCTGGAGTAGGAAAACGGTATTTTGTGAAATCAAGGGCAGGTGGCTCCCGCTTCCTAGATTTAGGATGAGGAGTCGCCTCTCGCCCTTGAACTGGTTTCCTCTTCAGTGAAGTGGAGGGTTTTTTAGCCGACTGCTCCTTGTCCAGAGCAGGCGGCTTCTTGTTGATCAACTCTTGAATTTCTCTCTTGAAGTCCCTCATGAAGGTCATGAGTTCACTCCTTGTGATGGGAGCAGACCCATCAGTCGGTTGTTGCCGAACAGGCGGTGCGCCTGCTGGCTCCCTTCCTGTATGAAGATGTTCCCGTTCCCTCCTTTCGGTATGACGGGTACGTCGGGCCCTTAGGGTCCCGTCTGAAGCTGTGTGAGCTTCAACTTCAAATTCATTCTCAGTATCGTGGTCCGACTGAACTTGAGGGTCGTCTAGGGGACGCCTCTCTTCAGGAGTCGGTACAGACTTGGATGCCATCTCAGAAGTACTCTCCCCACAGACGGCGCCAAATGTTTCGGGGTTTTCAGATGTCCTGCGGGAGAGTTACAATTCCGAGACTGGAACCGGACGCCTGTACCTGCAAAACAACGGAGACTCCTGGTGGTGGGAGCTCCGCCTCCAACGGTCAAGTTAGTACTTGATTAAGGAGTAATTAATGCGGAAATTAAAGTGATTGGGTCTCTCTAGGTGAGAGTGTTTAATGTGAGTTTTTAGCGTAATCAACCTGTAATCTCCCTTAATGAGGATTTAAGGGAGGTATTTATAACCTTGGGAAACGTGCCAATCCTAGGTTTAGGTTAACCTAGGGCTGATTGGGCTTCCCTCGGAAGTTGGGCCTGGGTGGCCGGTTTCTCCATTAGGCATGGAGTATGCCACGTGTCATGACATAATAGGTCCAAGGTGGACGAATAAGCGTGTGCCACGTGGCAAGCCCTGACAGTTCCAACTGGGGGACACTTGGCAGGACCTGATTGGCCCACGTGGCGCATTCCGATTGGTGGGAGCAAAATCCCCTAATCAATATCAGTATCGTGTATTAAGCACTCAAAATGGTGGCATTGTTGTCTCATAAGTTCCTTTAATATGTGGTACTGTCTAATCTTTTTGGTCTAGCCATCAATTATTTATTACTTTACGTTTTTCCTAGTTACACTTTCATTTTTTTTGTATGTGTAGGAGTACTATTAAGTATTATCACTGGTTCCAGCTCTTCAACTTTACGTTTACTCTCTTTAAAAAAAAAATCTACATTTTTTCCTGTACATACTATAGTAGTATGTAGTATGGTATACTCTCTCACTTTGAGTGCTGTTACCTTGATTTTCTTTTATTTATTTGGCTCCTCCAAATTGTTGGGATTTAAGGTGGTCATGGACGCTGTGCTGAACACTATGTAACTCTGTGCATCCGTGTGCCCAAGGAGAGAGACACATTTATAAGAGTAAGACGTGCTGCACCATTACTGCCTCAGCTTATGCGTGGCTTCTCTGATGATGTTGGTTCCTTGAGTTTTGTTTATGATTGGTGTCGGTTGACTGAGGAAGATACAGCTGATAATCATGAATTGGAGGATGGTGAAATTATTGATGCCTTTGATTTTGACGAGAGCAGTAAGTTTCATTTTTTGTTTTAGTTAATAATGTTGCTTTAGTACTAAGCTTGTAGTGTAGTTTTGCATCTTTTAACTTCGTCATCGTGCCTGTTTCTTTCAGACACATAGTCTGTTCTGTGTGAGCATCTAATATCCATGCCCTGCTATTGAATCTATTCAAGTTTCGGAGTTCAAAATTTGTCTGCTGATAAACAGCCAGTCGTAGCTATATACTTGCATCAGACTTATTTCGGCAATCATGGTTTAAAGCATAATTTATTTCCGGGATTTCATTTTGCACTTGCCATAAATCTATCAACAAGGGCTTCGAGCTCTTTAGATGTTGTGGTGACAATTGTTGTAACTATTTTTTTTTTTCTACATCCTTCAGGTTCCTCCTTAAGCATAGTTGAACCATCATGTATTTCTCTTAGAGTGGTGAATCCGAATTACAGGGACTATGCCTTCAAAATGAGACAAACTTGTATATTGTCTAAGCTGTTCAATAAATATCGTAAGCTTATATCAGTGCAAAATGAAGCTGCTTTCATGTTTAAGGAGCGCAGACTCATGGGTTCAAAGACAGTAGAGGAAGAACGACTTAAGGATGGTGATGAAATTGAAGCCATAATAGAGTGATTCCTTTAGTTGATTTTGCTCTTGTGTCACATACTTGCATCTCATAAATCAAGTATTGTTTGCTAAATTAGAATTGTGATCTGTTGCACTTTGACTATGCTATTGATGTCGATGAATTGAATTAGAGTATGACGTATTGATTTAAAGTGTATCATTGTACTCATAGTTCTCTTTGACAATATTGACTGGTAAGGCTCCTACATACCCCCAAACACAAGGATTTCTATCATCAATTAAGCTTATCTTCAACTTTTAACACACACATGAATAAGCCCAATTCAAGATGAAAAATATCAAGAAACCTTTAGTCTTGTAATCACTATTTATACTACCTCTGTTAATTTTTATATACAACTTATTTTATATCTCACAAATAATACCCCAAAGTTGCACATAAAAATTAACAGTGGTAGTATGACTTTGGACTTCCATCGTTTACGGATGACAATGGGTAGGGTCTTGGTAGGATCTAGCAATACTCGGACCTATAATTTGTATTTCATACCCATACCCTAGGCCCTTACCCAGACCCTATAGGTTTAACAAGTTAGGGTCTAGGGTCCAATATGGATCATTTATTTAACCTTATTATTATGGAGTTATTACTACTCTCCTTGGTATAAATATACTATAAGACGTCCAAAATTTGAAATTCTATCACAAAATTTTATTTAATCTTATCATTTTAGTGTTTTATCACATTTAATCGAGTGGAATCGCATGATTGGTGATTTAATTTCACACTTTTCATATTACTATTTTTGTAATACTCCTAAAAATTTCCACGTAATTCAATACTTCAACTAACAAACATGCATGCAATATGACATAAACTTTTTCACTTGTCACCAACTCACCAAGTATGCCTAAATTTACCTTTACTCAATATCTATTTATAAACTTGAAAATCAAAGCATAGGTATCATTTGCAACAATATACTTGTCATTTTTTTTTCTTGCTAATTTGTAAAGCTAGCTTATCTTAACACAACTTGCAACATACAAGTACATATATACATATTTGAAAATGCCTTCATTTTCTTGCTTGTTTAGTTGCTTCTCATCTTCCACCCATCAAGTTATTTGTGAAGAAGCACCAGTAAGCCGTAAGAAAACTAGTGATTCGAAGAACAACTCTGAGATCAAGAGATCTTCGGTGCCAGTCGTGGAGCCTTATTTTCCCATCGAAGCAAGATTATCTTACTTATAATGAGTAATTTCCAACAATTTCGAGGTGTTTAAGATATCGCTTATGCAAATTAAATGTGTAGACACCTTATCACGTGTTCTTATATATAATGTGCCATTAATTTTCCATCTTTAATTGTTGAAACATCATCCACCATAAAGCTTATACATTTAGGCGCACATGCGTGCATACATAAGTATGACACTTTATATACATGGTGATACATGGTGATTCTGTAACTTTATATACTCATAGTTTTTTTGGAATTTTTTTAGCATTAATGTTATTGTTGATAAGTATATTAGGTGACTCGTACTTCGTAGCTTTGTCCGCCCGATCGGGCGGACATTGCCCGGTCTGACCGGGCGGAAGAAGAAGAGGTGCCTGGCAAATTCGTTGAAGAAGCTGCTCTCGCGCCCGACCGGGCGAGCCTTCGCCCGACCGGGCGAGCCTTCGCCCGATCGGGCAGACCTTGCCCGGTCTGACCGGGCGGTGGGGGTTGGATACGTTGAAGCATTCGTATGGAGTTTTCTTCTCGCGCCCGATCGGGCAGACCTTGCCCGGTCTGACCGGGCGGAGAAGGAAAAATACGGAACGCGGATTTTGCGGTTTTAGGTTATCTTATTTTATTATCTTTTTGCCCAAGTATCTTTTAATTAGGGATTAATATAAAACCTCCCTAATATCAGTATTAGGGTTAAGAGAGAGAGAGTGAGAGCCGTTCTTGAGAAATACAAGAATCATCTTTGTAATCTTTGCAGTTTATAGTGAAATCATTCGATCTCGGTGCCCGTGGACGTAGCTATCACATCGATAGTGAACCACGTAAATTCTTGGTGTTGTTCTTATTGTTTGCATTGAATTTCTTTATTGTTTTCTTGTTTGTTTTCGACCTTTGCTTCCGCTGTCGCACAACAATTGGTATCAAGAGCTCAGGTTCAATCCTTGGAGAGTTTCTTGAAGATAACAATGGCAGGAGATTCAACAATAAGAATTGAGAAGTTTACCGGGAAAAATAGTTTCGGGCTATGGCAAATTAAGATGAAGGCTCTGTTAAAACAACAGCAGATATGGCGTCCGTTGGCTCCAAAGAGTACTACTTCGGAGTCAGGAGACGGACCGACTGACTCGCAGTTAGAAGTTATGGAAGAGAAGGCACACTCTACCATATTACTTAGTCTTGATGATCAAATCATCACGGAGGTTGCTGATCAGGAAACGGCGGCTGGATTGTGGCTGAAGCTGGAGTCATTGTATATGACTAAGTCGTTGACCAACAAATTATTACTGAAACAGCGGTTGTTTAGCCTCCGGATGCAGTCAGGTACTTCCTTACGGGAACATCTAGAAAAACTTAACTCTATTTTGCTTGATTTACGTAATTTAGATGTTAAAATTGATGATGAGGATGCTGCGTTGATTTTACTTGTATCTCTACCGTCTAGCTTTGAGAATTTTGTAGAGTCTTTTGTTGTTGGTAAGGATTCTATAACCTTAGAAGAAGTGAAGGCAGCACTTCATACTAGGGAACTCAGAATGAAAGCTACGAGTGATAATGGGGATAATGGTAGTGGGTTATTTGTTAAGTCCGGAAAGTCTAAAAAGAATAAGGGGTTTAACAAGGGGAACAATGCTGGGTCGGGTGCTGGAAACGGCAAGGATGGATCTAGTAAAACTACTACTAAAACATGTTATTACTGTAAAGAACCGGGTCACTTTAGGAATAATTGTCCGGTGAGGAAAAACAAGTCCCAGGCTGCTGTAGTTGAAGAGAAACCGAATGAGAGCTATAATTCAGAGGAAGATTTAGCATTAGTCAGTTCTGCTAGGTCTGATGATTTATCTGATAACTGGGTTCTAGATTCGGGGTGTTCGTTCCATATGTGTCCACGTCGAGATTGGTTTGATACATATGAACCTCGCAATGGGGGTATGGTTATAGTCGGTAACAATGCTCCATGTAAGGTCACAGGTATTGGTTCCATGAGGTTGAGGACTGTTGATGGGCGGAGGTTAACTTTGACTAATGTACGGCATGTTCCTGCTTTAGGAAAGAATCTGATTTCATTGGGTACCCTGGATGAATTGGGGTACAATGGTGTGTTTTCAGATGGGGAGTTGTGTATTTTCAGAGGTTCTGAGTTGGTACTTAAGGGTATCAAAAGGAACACCCTCTATGTTTTTGAGGGTGTTACACTGCCTAGTTCTGCGGTTTGCGCATCTGTATCTCACCAGGAGATGACTAAGATTTGGCACATGAGGCTTGGTCATATGGGGGAGAAGGGGATGCAGCTATTGTCCAAGAGGGGTCTTCTATCCGGGGTCAAGGTTGCCAACCTTGAATTTTGTGAGCATTGTGTGTTTGGTAAGAAACACAGGTCAAAGTTCAGCAAGGGTGCTCACATTACTGATGCAGTGCTCGATTACATCCATTCAGATTGCTGGGGTCCATCTAGAGTTGAAGGTATGGGAGGTTACCACTATTTTGTGTCATTTGTTGATGACAAGTCCCGATACACATGGCTTAGGTTGCTTAAGTCAAAGGATGAGGCCTTCAAAGTTTTCAAGCAATGGAAAGCTTTGGTGGAAAATCGACAAGGAAGGAAGATCAAGAAGCTACGAACGGACAATGGGCTAGAGTTTTGCAAAGACGAGTTTAATCAGTTCTGTGCAGATGAGGGTATAGGTCGGCATCATACTGTCAGGAAGACACCACAGCAGAACGGTGTAGCAGAACGGGTTAATCAGACACTGCTAGAGAGAGTTCGATGCATGCTCTCTAATGCAGGGCTTGGGAGGAGGTACTGGAGTGAAGCTGTGTTAACAGCTTGTTATGTCATTAATAGGGGTCCTCATTCTGGAATTGATTCCAAAATTCCGTTTGAGATCTGGAGTGGTAAGTTGCCTAATTTTTCGAATTTGAAGATTTTTGGTTGTGTTGCTTATTATCATGTTATTGAGGGTAAGCTGGATCCACGAGCCAAGAAGGGGTGTTTTGTTGGGTACGGGGATGGTGTGAAGGGGTTTAGAATTTTTTCACCTTCGGAGGGTCGGGTCATTCTTAGTAGGGATGTTACTTTCGATGAAAACACCATGTATTCAATTAAAAATGCAGAGATTTCAGATTTGAGAAGGGAAGGAGACAATTTATTACAGACAGATGGGGTACTTGAGGTACATCAGTCTACCATTGCTGATTTACCTCGGGTACAATATATTGATGATGATGCTGATGTTCCAGTGCCGGGTACTCCTGAACCTGAGATTACTCCTACTCATTCTAACTCTGGGGATGAGGTGGAGCAATCTAATCAGGGGTCATCTAGTCAACCTGACACCATTCTTGAGATGCCTAAACGAGTTATCAAGAAGCCTGTTAGATTGATTGAAGAGATGGAGGGAAGAAATTGCTGTGTTGATGCGATGACAGGTTATGCATTGAGTGTAGCTGATGATGTAGAGTCATTTGAACCTGCCACATATAAACAAGCAATTAGTTGTAGTGAGTCTGCGCAATGGCTTGCCGCAATGGGTGAAGAGATGCAGTCTCTTTACAAGAACAGAGTGTGGGAACTGGTAAAGGTACCGGAAGGGAGGAAGCTTGTGGGTTGTAAATGGATTTACAAGAAGAAAGAAGGGTTGTCGGAAACTGAGCAAATACGTTTTAAGGCTAGGCTAGTTGTTAAGGGGTTCAGTCAGGTAGAAGGGGTTGATTTTGTTGAGATATTCTCACCTGTGGTTCGACATACTTCTATCCGTGTGTTATTGTCAATTGTAGCACATTTTGATCTTGAGCTGGAGCAGTTGGATGTTAAAACGGCTTTCCTTCATGGCGATTTGGAGGAGGAGATTCTGATGAAGCAGCCCGAAGGATTCGAAGTTCCTGGAAAGGAACACTATGCCTGCAGATTGCTAAAGTCATTGTATGGACTTAAGC